GAGAAAGCGGTGAAAGCATAGTTGGACTGAAGAGGAGCTAGGGAGAGAGAATGATTGTTTCCATGATTACAATGGAGAGAGGAAAGGGGGAGAACAGTCGCGGATAAAGGGGTATGAGGAGCAATCTCTTAGTGCTAACGTAGATTCGTGAGACAAGATCTTTCGAAATATTACACCGGAGGGGTAGTACCAACTGCTACCGAGATGTGCCCACCGGGGAATTTCGTAACTGTTCGGATACTGTGAATATCAGCCATCGAGCCCGTTCAAGAACTGTTTTTCCGAGAAAAATACTTTGCACCTCGTTTAGACGGCCAAAAGATGAGAAGAAGAGACTTTCAACACTGAAATACTACGTGGCCGCCGGCACCGGTTCAGAACGATTCACAGAGGTAGATTTATACTTCGGTCGAGGAACGTAAGCCTTTAGATTCAAGGTGCTAATGCTCTTACAAAGGCTGACGGTGGAAATGGCGGTCGAGCGGTTCCGTCCGGATAAGTATAGAACTCGTTTTTAATTTATCAACCGGCAGAGGAAGTCTTTCTCTACGTCTCTTCCTGTTGCAGCTTCTTGTTGTAACGAGACTGTGGAAAATCCTCAGATAAAAGCGCACCCGGAGACGAGGGTAGCGTAAGTACGAACGTACGTACGAATAACTAGAGAAATAGTATTTCAGTTATTAAATTAAGGCACACAATGAAACTGCACACTCAGAAGAAGTAACTCTCGAACTGCGACAAAAAAGAAGAAATCGTGTACAACGATTGATGTGTAGCGTTCTATTGGGACAATCAATTATCTTGCTCAAAGGATTCAAACAGATTACGCACCGAATATCCTGTTAATCTCATTAAATTCACTTCCACGCGCAATCACTCCATGTGATCTACTACGATATATTCGATCAAGCAATTAGGTATTCAATAATTATCACGTAGATATACAATTTATATATGTATATATTTACCACGTTTCGACTGTTATTCGATATATACATTATATACAATAGAATATGTATGATTATATACGATGATACTATTAATAACAAATTAATTTCGTATATCTTTCAACGATGCATGCTTATAGATATATTGATGATTCCATGTTAATCAACATTACTCAGTATTCTTATAAACATGAATTATGTAGAATATTGTTCTATGAACGTCTCATTGTTGAAATAATGTTCAATGTAAATAATCATATTAATTTAAATAAATATATAAAATTATTTATTAGCTTTTATTCAAATTGTCCATTATCAAACTAAAAGCTTCATATTATCTCCATTTATATTTTTAATATTTCACAAACGATAAACTACATTTAACATTTCTATCTATTATTCACATATTTAATTAAAGGAAACTTTCAACAACAAAATGTGTTTTATACACGAAGAGAAGATTTGTATTTCTAATTAATATCGATTAAGTCTCTTTGATGCGAAGGATTATCACTAAGCATATTGAGCATCCATAATGAAAGCCATCTTGACACAAATGCCATCGATCGTATCCACCTTCTAAGAGTTGATCAAATATGTGAGATAATTATTAGCAATTGAGTTGAAAAAAAATCGAATATTAAAATTTGCTACAGACTCTTACAATTTTGTCAGCAAAAGAAAAATATTGATTACTTATAAATTATTCGATTTTACACGTAAATAAATTCAATGTAATGCAGCTACATGAATATTACAATAAAACTTCCTCTTTCAATAGGATATCGAGTAACTCCGAGGAGGAAAAATCCAATCAAAAGTATGCATTAGAGGATTAGCGATTGAAATATGCCCATTATTGTTGGAATCATAACGAAGATAAAAGAAAGAAGCTATTCTATAAACGTGCAGCGAAATAGAAACCTCAGATTTATATTTCATTAATCATTCTTTCGGCACGCGGATTACTTACTACGGATATCCACCAGTTTTCAGAATCGTGACCATGCAAAATGCCGAACTAAGTCGTCATTTAAGTCCCTTCAAGAACTTTTTATACGATAAGCATGTCGTTTCCACAGAGGAGGAAGGACAGTATTATTCCAGAATAGAATCGAACGAATCGTTATCTTCTCCGTAAAGATAATGACCCCACAGTCGGCGCCGATAGTGCCTTTCCTTTCATAGAGAACAAACTGTTATTCCTTCATGACAATGTACTTAAAACGCTATCGATTGTACCTCGATAAAGAAAGGATTCAAACAACGACTTCCGTCATCTTTCAGTTTTCTCTCGTTTAATCCCTTTCCGTTTCTTCGATCGCTAAAGGCATTCCGTTTTTCGCGTAAATTCTCGCTTTTACCGGAAACTCGATTTATATTGAACTACTTATACATCGATTCGATTAAGCTATGCGGCGCACGACTCGCCGCTTTCCCATTACCATGATCGCGAAATAGCACCGTTATATGAAGGAAAACTTCTTATAAAAACTTATAATCAATTGGTTTTCTAAAAAAATATTCAAAATTATGTTTTAATACTTTTTAATTTTAAATATCGTTTCATAGAAAAAAAATTATTAATTTAATTTTCTAGTCAGCTGCATATTTATATATTGGAACTGCAACTTTTTATTAAAAAAAGAATTCAAAATTTTATACCAAGCCAATTAATTATTTAGCGATTACAAAAATTAATATATGTGAATAATTCATATATTATATATTGATTTATGTCAGTAGTATTTCATTTAACATCTCAAATAATCTTTAAGTGCACGTTTAAATGGTAAAGTTTTCTTTCGAAAAGCCAAAATTTTATTGCTTTTTATTACACGATATCGTTTACTTAGTTAGGTAAAGATTACTCCATCAATCATCAAAAGTAAACTAACTTCGTAATTTCAGTTTAATTGTTCGCAAAATAGCACTTGTATCATTTTTAAGGTTTTCAAAAAGATCATAATACATACTTTCTACAAGAGTGACACATTTTAAGTTGTGTCGTTTTTGTAAATAAATAGGAGAATCTTTTATAAAAACATTTAAAGTTAACACACACAGTTTTAATAATTAAAGTTTGATTAGCTAAAATGATTAAATAATTTCTTGAAGAAGAAATTATTTAATCATTTTAGCTGATCAAAATAAATAATAAATTGTTAGTGATATTTCAAGTTGTATGTCACTTTTGATAAATTATTCCGGATTTTGTTATAATTTTGTAAGATATCAAATCAATTTAAAAAGGATGGTTTTTAAAGATAGTGAAAATGATAAAAATGACAATTGATATGATTCTAAAAGAATATATTTTCTTTTATTATCCATATTAATGGATAATTATCTGTAGAGTTGAAAAATAGTTTTTCCCTTCTTTTGGAAAACTCAATTTTTGAATTGTACTTATTAATACATAGTGAATCACTTTTAAAGTAAGGGGATAATACGTTTTCGCGTCATACATAATTGTAACCATACGATCAATTCTGTATCAACGCGTGTCAAATGGACAATGTATTAATGTGTCTTCAAGGGCAATTAACCTTGTTTTCAGCGATCACTCCTTCGTCTAAGCTCACCGCTGAGGTTGCGGCGAGGTACACGCGTGTCGCACAGGTGTATAGGTAACATCACTCCAGGTTGTGCTCTGGTGCGGCATGTAACTGGCCACACGCGTATGGCCAGAGATGGTTATATGGGTCGCACAACAGTCACTTGAGATTAATTACCAAGTGCATCGTTAGAGATAACGCGACGAAGGCTGGCGGCGGTTAAGTGAAGTGATGGTACCTAGATACGACGTTAAATTGAACCTTTCGTCGCTGCTGATTCCTGCAATGCCGCCGCCAACCGCACCGGCCCGACCCAACCTCGGGGTGCAAGCCGGTACAATATGCGTACTTGCCTAAAAGCAATTACTGCCGACGTGCACACATACATACACGTACGAATACACACACGTGTGCACTTGACGATAGCGCGCGATATAATATTGTTCGGAGAGCATCTCGTTCATATTGGCTTCGTCAAACCCGTAGCGGGACACGGGCGAAAGACGATGTCTGATGTTAATCTCTGCGCGGTTGCTGAATATCATTATGGATTATGCACTGAGTTATCCCAACTATGTCAAGTTAATAATAGCTTGGACCGACTCTTCAGAAAAAAACACAATATAAAGCATGTACTAGCAAATAATAACTAAATCTAGATTATTTATATCAGTAAATATTAGTTTTTAAATATATTTCAAATATTAGTTTCAAAATATATTTAATATATAGATTTTGATATATTAAAACACTTATTAAAAGAAATGATCATTTACTCTTGTAATCTTACAATTTTCATATTTTTCTTTTATTTCTAAAGATAATCTTTGAGAAGTTGTAGAATTTTAACAATATTCCTTAAGCGGATATTCCACTGGTGCATCTATTCCACTAACCTTTAGAAAATAAAACAGACGTTCGCGTTCCATTAAAGTCGCGTAAAAATAACATTTCGCGACGGGAGGATAACTTGTGAAGTGAGGTAACGTCGTTCCTTCAATAGTGATCTTTTTTGTTACTTTTTAAAGCAGAAAGATTAGTTGTGAGCAGAAAACTTTTTATTGTAGAAAATGTATGATGTGTATTGTTTTTATTCATTTTTTTGACAGAGAATTATTTTATTATTTGTACTACGCACTGCTAAAAAAGTAGATACTAAATTGCATATTTGCTATTAAATAACATAGTAGTAACCAAATATTCTATACATTTATCCCGGTATTCGCGTGTGATTATAGGAAGATAATTTATGAAACCGTTTGCTGGAAATTCCTCAGCATTAAATTCTCAATGAAATTACAATTTACATAGGAGGTACTGGTATTCATTCGGTAATTCAAATCCGTAGTCACTAGAAAGAGAAACTTAGAGAAAAGTAATCTTTCCAGTTAGATTCTCCTCAGTGATCTGTCGATTGATAAAAAAATCTGCAAAATTTTTATCATTTTTATAAAAAAGAGTCTCATTGTTCCGTGTTGTTATCGTTACTCCGTAGGTGGGATGGCTGCGTGCTGAAGACCAGACGATTCTATCAATGGGCGATCGTAAGGTTATCCAGTCGACTCGATTCTTCGTCACTCTGGAGAACGCCAAGACGAAGAACCAGACACAGTCGCGGGAGGACGAGGAGGCCACTTGGCAGCTGCATATTCGGGGGCTGAAGGAGGCCGATCGTGGCTGCTACATGTGCCAACTCAACACCAAGCCTATGTTGAGCCAGCTGGGATGCGTGGATGTCCTAGGTATGCCTAATTGCACGCGTTACGTCGCATTCCGGCCAACCGGCCAGGTTTGCGGCTGTTGGCAGAGACGTCACGTACGCATGCACGCACGCACCGCGTTTCGATTAGGCGAGGTCGGCTTTAGGGCCGGAAAATATGCGTGCCTCGCCGCTGGAGTGGCGCGTTTGAATAGGCCGTCTCACACATGTGTACCAGGCACATGGATGTCGTGCAGTACAGAGAGATCCCTCGTTACGCATGTTCATGCAAGATGATGACACGGACACAATGTGTAAACTGTAGCGCTATATAGTTAGTAACTTATGGTTGAAAGAGATTTCCAAGAGATCAACGTCGTTAGTTCGCTTTAGAAAGTTTTAAAATCTAACCCAGTCTCTAAATATCACAGATCCTTTAATTCCATCAAGGAATCTGTTAAATAATTTGGCATGTCCGCTGGGAGTTAGTTGAACTAACTTAATTTGTAACACGTGTTCCCTTCAGGAAGAGGATGTAATATCGATTCGAGAGAGTTAGTTTACAAGGAGCATTATCGGTCATATAAGAAACGCTAACGGCTGCGCTTTAATTTATAGTTTAATTAAACGCGATAACAAAGTTCGAAAGTCTACCTGGCAGAAAGTCTATCGACGTTCGCTGACTGCGTCGCTGAGCTGATGGATGCTCATACTTTGTGGTTCGTACGCAAACGTCGAACTAAATTGTTTCTATCAAATTTACATTATCTTCTTTTCCTCAACTTATACAGCTATGAAAACTACACCTAAGTTCTAAAGTATCCTGTTTGAAGTACAGAATGTAAGTAAACCTCCATCTTACGGCGATTGATAGAGGCAGATTCAAAGTTTTTTTATCTACACAATTTAGAGTCTCGTAGTAACAATTATACAGATTGTACAAGAGGCTTATCACAAATTCTTTATCTTAAAGTTCCATAATTTTTCCCTAATTTTCAGTCAGAAATTTCATGATTTTCCCTGACTTTTAATAACATTTTGAAATTTGTTATACTTCCTGATTTTGAAACTGTTAAATATTTTGTTGAGAGATTAATTTAACATAGCAATTTAAATTATTATTAATGTTGCTGACACTGCTTGCATTTTTTATTGTTAAATTGGTAATATTCCAAAACTGCGTAGGTGTAACGTATATATATTAATTTTTTTAAAGAAAAGAATTTTATTTAATTTCCCTGACAATTTTGCAAAATTCTCTCATTTTTTCTCTTTTTTTGACAGTTTTTAATTTTCTTGGCAATTTTCTGATTTCTTTAATTTCCCAGTTTTGTGGCAATCCTGTAAAATCATTTTAAAAAATTCTCTTTGGGTTCAAATAATGATTCGTTTCTGCAGTTGAGGGTTAAATATATCGTGTATTAAATATATAATACACGCAATTTTAATGTTTACTTTAATATTTGCTCTGTCCACAGTTTGTACATCGGTAATAGTGTCTTAAACGAAATATCCCTGAATATCTGCTTCAATTTCAACACAGAGATACGCATAGCACGCTCGTTGTATTCCGTTATGGCGTCGTATTGCATAATTTCACTTTTATATCGCGATGGACCGGCTCGCGAATAATATCATCTATTTTGTGTGTGAGGGAGGATGAACCAGGAATGCGTTCCATCGCGTGCATGCGCGCTTGTTCGTCGTTGGACACCAAAAAGCGGTCTCTCGTTGCTGAATGGAATGAAATTCCTTTAGGTAGAAATACGAGAAAATATCATCTCTCTTTTTTTTCTCGTCACTCGATTCGTCTATACGCAGCGTACGTTATACCCGCGACATACTTGTTCAGCTTTGGATCATTGTAATTGAAACGAATCGAACGGCTCTTCGAATTGGATAGAATTCCATTAGGAGAACCATTCCCTGAGGAGGGATGTCCCATTGAATGGAATGAAATTCCTTTAGGTAGAAATACGAGAAAATATCATCTCTCTTTTTTTTCTCGTCACTCGATTCGTCTATACGCAGCGTACGTTATACCCGCGACATACTTGTTCAGCTTTGGATCATTGTAATTGAAACGAATCGAACGGCTCTTCGAATTGGATAGAATTCCATTAGGAGAACCATTCCCTGAGGAGAGATGTCCCACCAATATTTCATTTCCGTCGAGTGTGACGGGAATGATTTCAAGATGACTTTTCGGTCGTCTTCGCAGCAACGTCTTGGTTAAATCGTGTTAGAACGATGGCAATACCGATTCTTTATAGTCCACGTACGTACCCGCCAGTCTTCGTTCGCGACGTTCTCTTCCGGAAATCGGAAAGATACATCGGAGAGACTCATATGAAGATATATTGTTTCGTGTGGCATGCGATTTCGATTCAATTCGTAAATTGTTTCTTAGACAACGACGCGTGACATCGGGGAAAATTACGTCATAATCCTCGGACACGTGTTGAACTTGTAGCAGATGAACGTGCGTGTGTGGTATCGAGAAAAATTTGTTTCATTCTGTAAAAGTTTACAGGTCATACGATATAACGATCGGTGTATGTACTTTCGTATATACGCACAATACAGTTCAAAAAACATGCTTGTACTGTTTTACTATTCTTTTGTTATCGCGAGCTTTATACTGTTCCCAGCGTCCGATATAATAGCAAAATGAAATGAGTTATGATATAAAATATTAATTTAAGAGTTTCACGATTGTTTTTTCAAGCACAATTAAAATCTATGTGGAATTAATTTTCCGTATTTTGTGGAATAAGAAATGGTTATTCCAAAAAGCGTACCAGTAACAGGAGATTAATTTCACAGAAAATACGTATAAGGAATTATGTCGGTAGAAATATTCTTGTTCTACAGTCATAAATTTTTGATAACATATTCTTCGTGCGGTCCTTGTAATTCACTATGATATATTTGTTGTGTGGATTAGATAATACAACTATTCGTGAAATAACTCTTTCTTATCATGGACTGATACTTTTTACGTAGCTTATTTTATTCTATTTTATTTTATTGCATATTTTACTTTAAATTTATTTTAACATATTTGCATAGAAACGACACTCGTATTCTCGTATCTTTTTCGATACTGAGCTTGGAAGGATAATCATATCCCTGTACGTCATTTTCAAATAAAAGATGTATAATAGCTATGTCTCAGTTTTGAATAAAAGAAGCCAAATAATTCGGGTCAGCATATAGAACAAGTAAGAAATTTTTCAAACTTTATTTTAAAATTTAAGTTCTGCATACGCGCGGGAATAGTGAATAATGATGAAAATAGTATTGACATAAAATAGTAATTTTGGTAATATTAATAATGATAATGGTACTCTATAAAATTCATAACATCAAATTGTATCCAATTTGCATCATTTTTAATTATTTTTAATTATAGTCGCCATTGTTCCTGTTCATTATATTAATTAACCTAAAATAACAAAGTTAAAAAATTTAATTCAAGACATATATTAAATCTGAATTAAATTTATTATTTATATATAATAAGTGCATATATCAACATAGATATACTGTTTATTTAGGAAGCAATTTAACCACAAAAATGGATTAATTTACATTTTATATTGAAGTTAAATATAACAAAATATTATTTAATTGAAGGAGTTGGGTTACCATCGCTCCTTTGATATTTAATAGTACAATAGTATTTCTGGGTTATTTAATACGATTTTAAACGCGCGTTATTATTTCACCTGACGAAATATTATCCGAGCTCTTTCTTTCCAGTGCCGCCTGACATTTTGAGTTCCGGCACCTCGGACGGCGAGGTATCCGTTCTCGAGGGTGAGAACGCTACTTTGTCGTGCAAGGCGTCCGGACGGCCACCGCCTCGCGTGTTCTGGCGACGCGAGAAAAGTGATTTCATACTCGTTAGGGGTGTTCACGATCCGTTGACACAAGGTAAGATATTACGCCAAGGCTCCGAGACTCAAGATTGCTACTTCCGATCTACGTAATCGTCATCTCTTTATAACAATACACCTTGTTACGTGAAACACGCGTTTGTTCTCGGAAGTATCTCTCCGTGAGGAAAACCACAACGCGAATTAATTATTCCCGTCCCTATATTTACGTCGTATAATGCCAATGTGGATTTAATTATGCATCCATTATAATTGAGTTTACACTCAATACATGACAAAAATGAACTAAAATTTAAAATAAGGAGAAAAAAGCTTTTGCTCTTCTTTTTTTTATATATATAGACAAAGCAATATATAAATCAAATGTTACGAAGCTTCAAAAATGATGAATAAATAATCTCATTTTTCATTGAGCTATATAAAATCGAAATAAAAATTTCGAGAAAATCTTTTCTCTTTAATATTTTCGCAAACGTTTTAATACGTTTGCTTTTATGTCATTAGAATAATCTCGGTAATCCGACGTGTCTCAATCAAATAGTCGAGCGTTTTAAGGGGATATGAAGACATCGTAAATTCGCACACGTAGGTGATCTCGATCGAAAGCAATTACGGCGGAACACGTTCCATCGAATAGAGATTAGTTTGTCCGCAATGACTTTCAATATCCTTCGTTCAGGTCGAGTTCCACTGCATTTCGCAAGACCCACAGTCCAGGAATTTTGTGCAGTCGCGGTGGATCGCACACCGCGAACAGATCGACCCGTTGAAAGAAATACTTGCAATATCATGCGAGTGCCAGCGACTCACGCGGAATTAAACGAGTGTGCTTGTACAACTATTGACATTCGATTGAAATGATTGACGCCGTGTTAGAGAGACAAATTTTAGCAATCAATCGATTCCCAATATAGCTCAATGCATCCAGAAGGGTGCGAAACGTATAATACATACCTTTAGTACTTTTTTTACGGTGCTTTTCAATGAAAGATTTTTATAAATTCATTGTATATTTCATTTATCAGTTATAGTTTTCAAAGCTTCGTGACATTGTTCGCGATGTATAGATTAACCGCAATGTAAAATGTGTATGTAATTTATTTTGATTCTACAAAATAAATTTAAACAATTGCGCCGATTTTTATCTTTTACATCAATGACATTGATATATCGCACAATAAACAAAAACTGTTATATAATATTTTAATATTATGTACATATTATATTAATATCATTAATTATATTAATTTATTATTAATATAATGAAAATTATTGCATTTTTCTAGATATAATTTGCTTTTGCAAAATGTCCCGTTATTTGATTAACAATTAACGAAAATCTGGAGCGCAATAATTAAATTCCAAAATAAAAAGACGCTATTTCCGTATTCGATAATGCAATCAAACATGCGACAATTATTAATTTAATGCAAGTGAATATGGTGCTGTACAAATTCATCAGATCAAATGCTGTCGGATCAAATCAACGCATCTTGTATATTTTTGATCGATCTTATTAAACTTCTGACACATTTTATCGTGAACATGGAACGACACATTCCACATGTGATTTATGTCGGCCGTTCGATAATATGATTCATTATCTTTCAGTTATTTGAAAAGCATCTATACTGCGTGTGCACGCTAATGCAATTCCTCATTGGATAATGGAAATTGTAAACACGTAGTAGAAACATAAATTTTCAAAATTTCGTTATCATTCCTCGCTTTTAATGATAAACGCTACTTCTACAAAATATGATATGACCATATAACCTGCGATGCTGAAAATTCTTGTAATTAACTAGATTAATTTATCGTTGTCATTTATGAGCTATGATCTCTAATAACACTTTACCCGTTTCATACGACCATCGATCATTGTTTTCATCAATCACGCTAAAATACAAATATTATGGCAAGCTTTGTTAATGCAACGGCGATAAATTAAAAAAATTTTATACGTACGTCTTAAAGTTTAATTAAAAAGTGAAATGTGAGGATTAAATTTTAATTTGAGCAAGTTCATATATTTCTATTACAGAAATAGTAACGCGAAATTGTATCAGCAATGGTAATAAATTCCAACGACAAATTTTGCTATACAAATTCATATTCTGCTTATCGTTGCTTGCCTCGAAGGCGTATTTCGCGAATAATTACTCAGGCCACGTTAACACGTCGGCTTATATGGTCGACGAGGGAGCAGCTTTCAACGAGATATTCATACAACGTACGATTTTCTAGTGGACAACCTGTCCGGCGAGAGGCTAGAATTAACCAGGGTAGACAGGAGGCAAATGGGGGCTTATCTTTGCATAGCTAGAAACGAAGTGCCTCCGGCGGTCAGCAAGAGGGTTAATCTAAAAGTAAATTGTAAGTACTTGAAAACGATTTATAGTCAACACCATCAATTCAAGATTGATATCAATTGATAGTCAGGCAAATATAATTTAATGACTATCCTTGTAACAGAAAATGTGCTTTAATAGCATTATTACACTAACGGGAGATCGAATCGTTGAAAAAATAGAATGTTATTTGCATTAGGAAAAAAAAAATCAAAAATTAAATGAAACATGAACAATACATGCCAAAATCAGATTTCTATCATTCTCTCTCATTTCTTTATCATTCCAGTCCCTCCTAGCGCTAAAGCACCCAATCAACTGCTCAGTTCTCCCTTGGATACAAACGTGTCGCTAATCTGCTTAATCGAGGCTTATCCCAAGACGATTAACTTGTGGATGCGGAAGGAGCAAGTTATCATGAGCGGGTATGTGCCGAGACAATATTGACAGTTTGGTCTACCGATCCTCGGGCGTAGTTCGAATCCGTTGTTCGACAATCTCCCGATAAGAGGCAAAACGTTTCCGTATTGCTTTTTGCTAAATCGCTTCTGACCTCGGTCATAGCGATTTCAGATATCGATCATGGCGGCGATTCTAACGAGACGTCGAATAACGGAATCTATTCTCCCTATCGTGAACGTTAAACGTAAGTGATATGTCAATTCAGAGGTAGATACGAAATCGACGAGCAAGGGGACCCCGACGAGGAATGGAAGACGACGATCGTGTTGAAGATAAGACGCTTGGAGAAAACGGATTTGGGTGAATACACGTGCTCAGCCTCCTCAAGTATGGGAAAAGCTGAGGCGACTCTCAGAGTATACGGTGAGTAATCATATATATAATGTATATATATATATATAAGAATACTGAATATATAAATATGTTAACAACAATCAAGTAAAAGCCATTATAAATCTATGCTAGAAATTCTTCAATTTAAAAAGAATGCTTTTGCATGTTTAAAAATTTAGCTAGATGCATATCTGAAAATAACTTTCATGGACTATAAAAATAATTACGTAGGAATTTCAAATATGACGAGCAATGCTGCAAAAAATTTTGACATTTTACCAACCAGTTTCAGCTCTCTATGCATAATTTATTTTGTTGGTCCAACAAAATTATTTTGAGATCTGTATCTAACTAAATTTTTATTTCAGCCAAATCATCTTTTCCATGCAGTATGGACACGATTGATATCGCATATAGCATTATTTTTGATAACGCAATAATACATAAAAATAAAGTAAATTAAATTTCAAGCAAACTAAAAGTAATATTAGATGTAATCCATTTTTCGAACGCAAGAAGAATAATTTAACTGTTTTTAACAATATATATTTATGAGAAGAACGATTTTGCTGAAGTATCTAACAATTTAATTAAATACAGGTCTGAAAATAATTTTGTTGGACTATTTCGAGTAAAACAATTATGTAGAACGCTTAAGTTGATTGCTAGAATGTCAAAACTTTTTGCAGAACTGTTCATCATATTTGAGTTTTCTACATAATTATTTTGATGATCCAACAAAATTATTTTCAGACCTGCATTCATCTAAATTTTTACTTGAACAAAATCATTTATTAAATTTTTAATAAATTCAAAATACGTATACAATACAGTCAAAGGATCCCATTAATTATATGAAAAACTGGATCCCGGTGAAATAAATTGGTTTTCACGTATATTGTAGCTTATATGGTGAATAAAAAATGTCATAAACTTTCACAAGACTCAATAATGGATAATTTTTAAACTATGATGTATCATAGATGCTTTGCAGAGAGCACAAGTTTTACTTTTGATTCAACACAGTTCAAGGACTATCTATTATTTTAGCCATGTGTATGTAACATTTTTTATTCATCACATTATAAACTATCATATAACATATAAAAAACCAACTCGATCATTTCATCGGAATCTAATTTTCATATTACGGGGTTCTTTATGATTGTCAATGATATAGATATTAAAAAAGTAAAATTAGAGATGGTTCTAAAAAAAAAAAAAATAAGAGGGTACGAAAAACGAAGCGTCTGGTGTCACCATGATTCACGTGGTTATTTTCAGAGATCGAGCGCGCAACCGTGCCCAATCGCATCACCTCGACCAACTCGAAACGACTGAACCGAGGCAAGTCAAAGTCCGGGCAAGGGACGATGGTCAATCGGGTTTTCCATCAGCAGGTGAGCACGCCGGCGATGCAGAAGAGCACCGCGCGATTGATTTACAACAACAGGTACATGACCACGTCGACCACCGCGGATCCTCGCGCTCCCTTAATCAAGGACCAGGGTAATGCCTTCAAGCATAATAACCGCAACGATAACCACCAGAATCTCAAGGATCGGAGCGACGCGTCCGCGATCATCACCAGTAAGCAGGTCGTTTTGCCGCTCTGTCTCGTATTGTTCTCGATAGTGCGATAAGACGTAATAAAGTGATGAGAACTTCGAGAACGACGATTACGACTATAGCTATCCCTACGCAAAAGGAATTATTCTGCGAGTCAGCATGAAATTGTGTTCATCGATCCGACGAGTAGCGAAGCTAAGCGAAAGAAACTCACGAGAGTCTCGTAAACGAAAAACACGAGAGGGAAGAATTCTCAGACAACGACGACGAGAGGCTGATGGAAGAACTAACTGTTCCGTTTAATTAGCCAGATCAACGTTCTTAGTAGCACGAGAAAAGATCGAAAGAAAAGCGAACGCTTTTACAGGGTAAGATCGTAGAGAAGCGAGTACTTGGACACGTGGCAGGGTGAAAACAGGGGAGGCGGGAGTTTGATCCGTTAATGCGAGCGAATGTTGCACGAGATAACCGCTACGGATTTTTACGGAAAGACGCTTACGAATGTATTTTTTATGATCCTTTTATCCGTTGCTAACGTGCGAAAACTTCGGGGATAAAACGTGCTCTTTGGTTGGATTAAATATATAGTATTTTCCGGATAATTTTAACTCTCGGACACTCAGTGCAGTTTATTTTAAACTATATTAAATTTTATTTATCTCTTTTATTATAGGTAAAGTAAAACTTGCACTAACTGTATTATATCTACAACTGTTTTTGTTAAATATTATTAAAATAAAAATAAATATGAAAATAAACGACTAAAAATAAACGATTAATAAATCAACTAAAATTGATTACTGAATAAGAAAAATACGAAAATAGAAGACACACAAGCACCATTAACCGTTTGAGAGTTAAAAATACGAGGAAGAAATTTTTGTTATTTAAAAAGCGAGCGATTATTCCTGTTTTTGTGGAATTAATAAGTAATTTGGAGTAATTTTATAACATTAGCGTCAAAAGCCTTATATATGCAGGGTGTCTATCTGAAATGAGCTGTCACTGGAGTTGATGACAGGAAGAACCCGCAGAATTTAATCGCTTACATACAAAATCTTGACGTACATATTATATCTCACAACGACAGTGACAACTCAGTTAAAGTGAACATCCGTTACGTTGCCATTGTAATACGTCTTCGTCAATGAATCACACGAACTTTCCGAGCAATTGTGCGATCATACCAATGCAGACAAATAATTAGCATACTAATTTAGTAATTTGTATGTAAGAGATAAGACAATGATATCTTTGTTTATTGTGATGTAAAGAAAGCGCGAAATGATATTATACTTGGCATCATAGCAAGCGTTTTCACGTCATATCCGAAATAAGATCCATATCTGTAGCACATATAATATAACAACATACCAAACACTTTAGAGAAATATTATATATATATACATATAGGTTACTTTGGTTATTTTATGTATTTTTTTAAATTACTTGTAGACACACAAATACTGTACCTTATATGTCGGTAATGAAGTAAAACCACGTATAGCATAGGTGGTTAAACGCGAGAAATGACCGATATATCGCTTTTTAAATAAAACACGTTAAATTAAACTAGGCTTTGCCAATTTTTTTATAAGATATGCTCGGCTATCATCTCGAGAATTGCAGATGTGCATTTTAGTGATGATACATGTATATGATGACGTAGATGTATGTATACGTTATGTATAAAAATACGAAAAATTAACAGCAAATGATCTTATAATTTCTAGCAATATTACAAAGATCATTCAGTTAATGTTCCTTGCAAAACTATGAACCATATCTTGCTCTGTAATTAAGACAATTATGTAAAACAATATTAGCAATGTTCAACTCGGAGAGTATTAAAGTTGATGAAAAAAAAAAAAAAAGAGATAAAAATGAGTCAATCTTAAAAAGTTCTATAATGTCCATCAATATGAAGTACAAGTCTTAGTTACATTGCATCGTTTACTGTCATGAAAAAAGTAGCATATCCCACACAGAGCAAAAATGTGTTAAATGTACCTATCTAACGAACCTTGTATATCACAGAATGCTCAATATATAATAACTTTACAATAATTATATTAAAAGAATGTTGTTGTTTATAGGACGGAAAAATATATTATGAGAATACAATGAGAAAATGTGCTCAAATTGGATGATATGGCTTTGAGGAGGGAAAATGTGTTGACAAATAAGAAAAAAAAACTATCATGCATTTAGCAGTGACGTTCGTTTTGACTTTAAGTCTAGCTTAAACGAGTGTATTTTTTATGTATTATTAAAACGGCAAATATAGCTATTTGTCGACAAACAGATATCAAAACTGCTTTTTTATTTTCTCACATCTTGAACCTTAGATACATAAATATATATTAGGTTATAATTTTGGAATATACATCAAATGCATTGGTCAGGACGACCCATGTAAGAATGTTACGACCAAAATAAAATGCTAAAGGCCATACAAATACAACAAAAAGCCACATATGGACTCTTTCTTTCCCCAATCCTAGCACATTTCCAAAAAGTACCCTGAAAACTAAAATTAGAAATTTATTAAATATACACAGAATGTGTATTATACATACATGTGAGTATATATTTTAGTGATTCAATAAAAATGTTAACATACCCAACCTTTCCTAGCCGGTTGTCAAACAAATTTGGTGCCAGCGATCTAATGTAGGTACAGGTACATATTAGCAATAATATTACAGTCAGTAGGCTCTGAAAATTAAATATGGCAGACTGCCAAAAAAAGTACATTAGTATATTTAAAAAAATATTCATCTATAAATTATAAAGTTTGTAATGTTACTCGAATAAATGTCTTGCAACAACTATTTATTTATTTAATAGTCACCAAATCTCAATCGCTATATTCTTAACGTAAATAGATTTCTTCTATAACAACAATTTTTTTAATTCGGATATTTAATTTTACTAAAACTGAAAAATTGTCAAACATCAATGACATTATAGGTTATACGAACCATCTCAAATTAAAATTCCAAATTATCAATTGTAATTACTATAATGTTGGATCTAAAAGATCTCGCGCTCGATTTAAAAGATGTAAATGAATTAAGCTTGAAAAACTGCAAATAAATTGAGTTTAAAATTCTTCAATAAATCAAACAATTTCAACATCACTTTGTACGACGCACAATGGCGCGCAATTCGACGCTCAACGCGCATCGAAAGGTTGTTTGCAATTGTTGCACTTTTTGCGCTCAGCAACACTTAGTTTTCTCTCTCTTTTATACTAAAATATATAATAATCTCATTTTACGTATAAAAAATTTCGAGGAATTTCAAGCAATAAACAGAATAAACAGAAGAATAAATTCAAGAATAAACAGAAATAAGATAAAGTCCATTATTTTAATTTGGACATTTCGAATTATGATTTTAAGGGCGGGTTCACACCTTGACAGAAAAACGGAAAGCTGAAAAGCAGTAGCCAATCAGGTAGTCGACTTTCTGTTAGTTTTGTACTATTTACTACAAGCGCGAGTTCTGATCGGTTAAGCCCATGGCACATAGAAAAACGTAAGGCCGTAAACGTAATCAGTAAGCAAATTGACCAATCACAGTTGAGAACGTAAGCAGCCGATGATTGGTCAATTCGCTTACTAATTACGTTTACGGCCTTACGTTTTTCTATTGGCGAATTCGACAGACTGCACTAGTGCGTACCAGTGCGCATTGAGTGTGAACTTTTTTGGTGCCACGCATTCAGAATGTGCGCACCGTATCAGTGTGCTTAGATTGTCATATTCGGTAAATGAAAACTGACCTAGTGTAGTGCTGAATTTGTATTCGGACCAACCAAATGAACCGAACGAGTGCAAAAAATATTGCACTGACATTTTTGTCAGTGCAGTTTGGTGTTCGGACAAATAAAACTAGTTAGGCAGCAAAAAATTACAAAATGGATAAAGAAAGACTATTATTTATTATAGATAAATTATTAGAAACAAGTAATGGTAGTAGTGATGATGAAAATATGTTATGTTTAATAAAAGAAGAGAGGCCGAAAATTAATTAAAAATAAAAATATTAAATTATTATTATTATTATT